GACTGTGACGGCCGCATAGGCATATTGAAGAACGCATTTGAAATCCTCATATTGACTTTCATCGTTGGAATGGGATGGATGCGATTGTATGCGCGTCTCAATCACCTTTTTATTTGCATTCGGAGCACTAACAACAGCAACTGTTACATTTGAGACGCGTTGAGGCCTGTGGCTCTATCTTTGAGACTATCTTTCTAAGGCCTATCTTTGAGACTATCTTTCTAAGGCCTATCTTCGAGATTATCTTTCTAAGGCCTATCTTCGATACTATCTTCCTAAGGTCTATCTTTGAGACTATCTTTCTAAGGCCTATCTTCGAGACTATCTTCCTAAGGCCTATCTTCGAGACTATCTTTCTAAGGCCTATCTTTGAGACTATCTATCTAAGGCCTATCTTCGAGATATTTCTTTTCCTATTTTTCAAAGGAAAAATACACGACAGCAATGTCGCTCGTACTGTCTGACCTTCCTTGAGAACAAATTCGACTATTGCCCTGGCCAACATCTGAATAGTAGGATGGATTGCCATCTCTCAACAATAGGAAAAGTGTGTATAACGGCTGACGAGCTCTTTCTTTGACTCCCTAACTAGGCAGATAATAGCATTTATTGCAGCAAAAGATGGCAAATCTGTGCACTGATTTCTCAAGATCCAAATTTCCTACAAATTTAATCACTAATAAATATCACTTTGTTATTTGTATTTTTTTTTCGCAGTGAAGCAACTTTAAATGGGCCAGAACTGCATGTTTAGTGGTCTTTGCTGTAATAAAGCCTGTTTTAATTTCGGTTATTGTATCTGAAACTAAGATTTATAATAAATGTAAATAAAATAATTAAGTTTTTCTGTTGAGTTTTCTGCGCTTAAGATCTCAGTCATTAGCACAAAGCAAAAATTTTATTACACTAAATAATAAAGTTATTTTGGGAAGTTTTATTATAATATTCGGGTAATTTATTATTAAAGCCCGGAATTTCAGGCAATTAAAAATGCAAAAATAGGCAGGCAAAAAGGCATTTAGAAAGTTTGAAATAGGCACTTAAAAAAGGCATTTAAAATTGGAGCAAAATGGTAGTTGGTAATGCCTAAAAGCCCATATAGGTATCCAAGGTATAAAAAAAGTTGCTAGAAGTATCCGGTATACCTACATATTCATTTCACTCGACTGTCGTACAAAAGAAGTGGACATAATTGCACAAAAAAAAACCTTAACTGCGTAGGTGCGAAATAAAAATTGAAAACTCGTACTTACAATAATATTGCATGCAGATTTATTCTGATGATTGGTTGTTGTTGCACATCACAACTAGATGCTTTTTCAAATTTTCGAAAGAGAAATTTTGTCTCGTGTCAGTCAATATAGTTTTAAACAAAGAGAAGGATCTTTCTACTTCGACAGAGGTTATGGGCGCGTACCTAAATCAACTTGTCATGGTAGGAGATATGGTAAGTTCAACTGTAGTATCACCAGAAAGTACTTTTGCAATGTCCAAAGTCTGTATTTGCAGAGATGACGTTTTTACATTTCTTCCTTATTCTGTCACCGGCTGGTCCAGGCACAGACATTAGTTCTTCAATAGTATTGTCGAAAATCTTTAGTGACTCGGACAAAGACATATTTCTTTTTTCCATGTGTTCAATAGCTCCAGGGAGCTTCCCAAAATAAGTTGAAATAAAAGTCAGTTCATTTTTAATTTTAGAACTGCTAAGCAGATTTTTACTTTTTCTTATGGATATTGCCTCTTCATCCGAAAAGCTGGTAAGGACTCGAGTAACTTCCTCAAAATTTGTGCAGTAGTATGAGACTGCTGAAATCCATGTTCCCCATCTCGTAAGGATCGGTTTAGGAGGTAATTGAATGTCTGGTGCAATTTCTTTGAACACTTGAACTCTTGAAGGGGCTTTCACAAATACTTTTTTCACACTAGAAACAAGCGAGTCTACCTCAGGATAGAGACCTCTTACTTCCTCTGCTATCCTGTGCAATGCATGAGCAAGGCACGTTAGATGGATCATATTAGGAAATAAAACTTTTAAGGCATTTCCAGCTTTTTTCATGTAGGAGGCTGCATCTGTAAGAAATAATAGCACTCTTTCATGCTCAGTACCATTTGGCCAAAGTAAAGCCAGTGCATTAGTGAACAACTGTGCAATTGTAGTACTGTTAGTCTTTTGCAACTGTTCAGATGTCAACAAAAAGATTTTATGTTTTTCAAATGGGTCCATAACACCAACAATAACATTCGCAACATATCGTCCAGTTACATCTGTCGTTTCATCTATAGATAGCCATATGTTTTTCGTTCCGATTTCATTTTGAATAGTTTTAAGAACTTCGGTATAACAGTCATCTAAATAAGTTTTCCTTAAAGTTGATTCACAGGGCACACTTTGATTCGTATATTTTTGCAAAAAAGCTCGTATACTTTTATTTTCAAGTTTCCACAGCGGAATGCCGGCATCTACAAATGATCTGCATAAATCCATTGCAAATTCCGATTTGCGAGAAGATAATTGAAAACAGGTGGAAATCAGAGTCGATGTTTTCCCATCTTTTTTATCTTTTGCTGTTTTATGCTTAGATGTCTCCAAGTGCTGAGATATAAAATACTTCTTCTCAAAATTTACTGACTTCTCGCATGCCTTACAAAACAGAATGCTCCCATCAGTAGAAAACACATCCGACCCAAATTCTTTCACAAAACTGTCCAGTTTTTTGCTTGTGCAGGCTTTTACTTTAGGCATTTTAGAAATAACTAGTATACTAGAAAACTTTTTCGTGCTCCTGCTACAATGTGCTCAACCAGCTTGGTGAATTCGTTTTGTAGATAAGAGAGCATACGAGTTATTCGATGGTGTAGGCTATATGGGCCGTAAGTAAGAATAAATTCTATTGACTGTAAGTAAAAATAACTCCAATCTTTTCACTCCCTTTCTCTCTCTCCTTGCAAAGCGCATCGGGCGAAGGTGACGCCACGACGAAGGTGACGCCACGAAGAGACGGAGAGAAAATATTAATAAGACAAAAGGAATAAAGTCCTAATCTCTATAAATGCATTACAATACGTCGGATGACAGTCAACCATTTCTGTACTTCAAAATTTCTTCATTTTGCGTTTATGCTCGGTCAAAAGCACAAAAAGCTTTGCAGAAAAATTTTAAATTAGACAGAAATAGGCATTTATGAACAAAAGGAAAGAAAAAGGCATTTTCAGAAGAAAACGTTTAAAAAAGGCAGAAAAGGGCATTTATGGCATTTTGCCTGAACTTCCGGGCTCTATTTATTATAGTACAACATTTTCAAAACAAATAACCATTTCTAAAAGAAAGTAGTGGGACAATGACTTCTTCCCAATGATAAAATGTATTCAGAGAAACAATGAATATTTTTATTCAATTCTACCAAATTCATGTCAAATATTTTGTCTCCAACAGACTCACAACTATTAAGTAACCTATTCTAAATATACAAAAAAAATTAACTATTACTATTTTAGAAATTATGATTGCTAACGTTGTTAATGTCAAGAAACTATGAATTTAGATTTTTTATTCACAAACTTTTATTATTTCAATAATAAAACTATTAGAGAGAAAAAATATTATGAAATTCAGTTTGGTGGTTGTGAGGGTTGTTTCACACTCTATATATCTCTCAAACTATTTGCTGTATTCCAATGATAATATAAGATCAAAGATTATTAGCAATCATAGTATGCAAATTTTTCTATAAAAAATTTTTTATCAAAAATAATAAAACAGCTTCATTTTTCTGTTAAGTTTTCTGTGACTTTTTCGATTACAATAAAATAAGTTACTCAGTCATTTACACAAAACAAAAATTTTATTTTATATTTTAAGTAGTTAAATTATTTTGTTTAATTTTATAATATTTGGGTAAATCATTATTGTACAACATTTTCAGAACAATATTTTTTAAAAGAAAGTGATGGAACAATGACTTTCTCCCAATGATAAATTGTATTAAGAGAAACAATGAATATTTTTATTTAATTCTACCAACAATATGTCTCAAACAGACTATTAGGTAACCAATTCTAACTATACAAAAATTTAACTATTACTATTTTTAGAACTGATGATTACTAGCGCTGTTAATATCAAGAAATTACAGATTTGGAATTTTTATTCACAAACTTTTATTACTTAAATAACAAAACTATTAGAGAAAAAAATTATTATAAAATTAAGTCTGGTGAACGTTACGGCTCTTTCACACTTTATTTATCTCTCAAAACTATTTATTCTATTCTAATGATAAGATTAAGCATCATTAGCAATCATAGCAAGTCAATTTTTCTTTAAAAAAAAGCTCTATTTAACTTATATTCTTTTTTTGATGACATTTGCTTCCCAATTATTTCATTAAGTTAGCAGACTATGATATTTAAAACTATCTACTCGTGTGTAATGAAGCAAGTAGCCAAACTCTCTCAATTCCTCTTATTTATACAGCGAATAACTGATAACAAATTACGTTACACAACGATCGAAGTGGCCAAACTCTCTCAATGAGGTGATAACGCCATGAGATAAGAGTTATGATGCTTCATTATCTACAATTCTCTAAACAAATCTCTTTATACTCTAGTTTTAGTTTCGATTTGTTTTGGCCGTTTACCACCTTTTATTTACATACGTGTGTTCCAAATCCTTTAGTGCCATAGAAATAATTAATATTCTGAGTTCGATTTACAATTAAAAATAAATAAAAACAATTTTATTACGACTGAAATATAAAATTGATTTTTAGTATGAATATGAAATATTAAATAATTTTGGTTGAATTGTAAAGAGAAAAAAATTTTGGTGGTTCCTTTATTAAGTTTATGTTAAAATAAATTTCTTTGCACTTAGTAACGATTATGGAGTACTTTTATATAATGCTGATATCTGTATAAATAAATAGGTTGTGTGCAACAAGTGATATTGCATTTTAAAACCCTTATTTGGTTGGATGACCGATTCAACATTGAGAAAGAGGGCAGATAAAAGATGAGACTGGTGATGTGGCTTTTATCAACTAATTGTTCGGCGTCCCTGAAGAGCAGGGTGATGCTTAACTTTGGAACCCGGGACTCTAGTTCAAACCACAAAAAAAGAAACATTAGTCGTTGTTCAATTTTGCGCTGATTTTGTTTATATTATCTCGATGCGCAATCATGCTCTGCGCACCTTATCTCAACATTGGAGGTGATAGCGGGGCTATAAATTCGCTCTCCCATCGGGCTGGCCATGAACATACTCCTGTCTTGCTGAGTAAAACGAGGTAGCTGACTTGTTTATTTTTTATTTGTTGCCTGTTCCTGAAATTACTATTATCGTCTGAAACTGTTACTTATACAGCATTAAGTAAGCTAACTTTTTTTATTCTATTTATTTGTTCGAATTTATATTTTGAAAGTTTTGAATTTTTTAAGCGTTGTTTTTATTTTATAGTAATAATACACAGTAAAAATACACAATAGCTAAATTAGTTGAGTTATTTTAAGCGGAATAAAGCCTTACAGAAATATGATAGCTAAATTTTGCGACTTTATATGTGGCAGCAGTAAATAGAATTTTATTTTTATCCGTTCTTTGATTATTTGTATGTGTTTTCATATGTTGATGTATTAATTTTCATCTTTTGATTTATTGTTTTTTGGTTGTTGCTTCCTGTTTTCTATGTGCCATTGTTATTTCTATGCTGAAATAGAATTATATGTGTTGCAATTACATTTATAAGTAACTTAACTTAGCTATTTTATTTCTTAGCTTTTTTTATATTTTAATATAAATAATTAGTCATTTCTTGGGGTTTTATTGTTTTCCAGAATGGTTCTTATGTGGATTGTATACTAATAAGTTAAAATACATTGAAATCACCCTTTCGAAAAAATTCTGTTATTATTTATTTAAATAACTCTGATTTCTTAACACTTTAACCAGATTTTAATATCTTTAGTAATATATTAGATAACATCTTTACTGCGTTCCATTAACATGTTTAAAGCTTATTTTATTGTGGTTTAAAATTCCTGATCTTTAACTGTGGAATTCATTAAATTTTATGCAACGAGCCTATCACAAAATTTGAAGTGAAATTTGAAATTTGTAGTGATTACCAATAATATATTCTGAATAATAGACGTACGCATAACTTTAAGGTAATAAAACGTCACATTGTACTCATATTAAACTCACATACGTACGCGGACTTCTTGTTAAGTTCTTTTTTGTATGAAAATATTATTTTTTTTTTTAAATTTGTTTATCATTTAAAAAAATATCAGTTAAAAGTGCAATTTATTATAAAAAAGCAAAGTTAGTTCAAGTATCTTACAAAACTTTCGACTATAGCTTACAAAGTATACCTTAGAAACTATACCACTCAAAAGGAAATTCATAATTCATGTAAAAATTTACAATTGAATAGTTAAGTGGAAAAGTAGAGGTTCATTTTAATTATTATCATAGTGAACATTTTACTTAATCTGAGAAAATTAGTTTAAGAATGTATGAAAACATCTTTAAGCAGCTAATACTATTAATCCAATTGAATTCCTTTATTACGAGCCCTGATTTAACGTGTTTCTTGATTTAAACAGAAAATTCTTAATAGATTCATTTCATGTTAAACAGTTAATATAAAATCATGTTTAAACGAGCATAACCCGATTTATCGAGGATTTTTATTTTTGATACTTTCAGCACATTTTGATGTGACAAATACTCTGAAAAAATAAGTTTATTACTTTCGTAAGACTTAAAACTTTTAATCATTGTTCGATTCTTATTAGATAATTATCAAAATGGAATTGACCTGTGTTTCTCACACGAAACTTCAATTTTTAGCTTTTGGTTCTGCCATGGTTACAAGTGATATCGCACTATACTTAACAGCAGTTTGCATAATTTGAACCGGTTTTAAGAATTCCCTACAGTTTGCAATATTTTAGTTTTTTTCTGAGTCAGATGCAGATATGCTGATTGATAAAGCAAAACGTTATCAGAAAACAGCTCGATTTTCGAAGTATCAAAATAATCTTTTCCCGCGTAACCCCGCGTACATGTAAAGTGTAAAGTGAAACATTTGCAAATGATTAGAACTGTAAACATTTATCTGGAATTCTTATCTTTCCGAAATTATTCAGTTTGACCCGGTTTGATAACTATCAAGGTTGAAAAAACCCCTTCAGTATTATTTATAGGATACTTATAAGCTGTAAAAACCAATAAAAAAAATTTTTTTTTTAAATTTAATTAGTTTCACACTTTCCTTTCTTAAGATTCTTAAACTTTTTGTTGAACTGCTACATTGTATTATAAATCTTTCAATTTCGATAGATAGTCTTAAAGTCAAAGTGAATAACTTCTTGGAGCTATTATTTACATAAAAACAAGGCAGTATTTAAAACAATTATCATCTATCCAATATAACAAAATATGGTATTTGTTTTCAAGCTATCATTCAAAAGTGAATTGTTTATAATGCACGGGAATGAGCTGCGGTGGCTCAGGAGATAGAGCGTTCTCCTCCCAATGAGGTGAACCAGGTTCGAATCTCAGAAGTGGCTGGTTGAAACGAATTCTGTGTTTTGTTTTGTTTTTTTAAATTGTACATACAATGATAATTATAAAATGTTAGGGTTACTAAAAATAGAGTTGCTATGAATATTTTATACTTGATAATAATATTGTTCACAGTACTTACATACATGTTTTAGAATGCTTAGAACTAATATTACAGTCGTAGTATATAAGTAGCTCATGGCAAAACTCAAAACGCTTTGATTTTTTTCCAAAAAAAGAAACAAGAAAATTCTATTTAGAAAGAAAACATACTAACTTCTGCTACTTGAAGTTAGGTTTTCATGTTACATAACTATAAATTTTGTTTAATAAACGCACTTTAACACTTTTTTTTAATGGACGACGCGACGAAGTTATTTCATTCTTTCGATTAATTACACTATTCTATTGATACAACTGATTGATTTAACACCCTAAAATCAATGAAATGGCCCTGGACAAAGTTAGCAGATTATTTGTCGTTGTTGATTTAACTATTAACAGTAAAAAAATAAAAAGTATTAGTCTCTAAAATTTTAATTCATTGACAGTTTTGAAACACTGTTTTTAAAATACAAGATGTTTTATTTTATAATTATAAATAATTTTGAACAGCCGATTCAGTCTTGTAATTTTGAACCCTAACCAGAAGACAAGTGAACATCTGGGTGACTTAAGGGATAGAGCGTTCGCCTTCCAATGAGGTGAACCGAATTCAAATCACAGCGATGGTTGGTCGATTCGAACTCTGCACCCAGCTCGCACCAACCACAGTGCTGACAAAAAATATCCTCAGAGATGGACGAATCATGGGTTAGAGTCCCCTTGCCACCAGGCTAACCGTGGTACGTTTTCGTGATTTTTCTTTCCATGTAACGCAAATACGGGCAAGTTTCATCAAAAAGTCCTCCACGAAGGCAAATTTCTCCCAATACTTGATCCAGGAGCGCCCTTGTCTTCTTGATTGAGTTCAAAATTACAAGGCTACGGGGTTGAACCGAAATTGTGTCGATTGTTCAACGACAGTTATAAAATAAAATTAAAATAAATAAATAAAAAAGTGAACCCCCGATTCATTCATTCTCATCCTCATCCTTATTGGGACAAACTTGTCTTCACCGAAAACTTTTTAATATAATTAACCTGCCTTTGAGTTACATGGTGAGGAAAATCACGAAAACCTCCCATGGTTATCCCAATGAAAAGGGGTTCTATTCCATATCCGTCTACCACTAAGGATATATTTACACTGGCTATGTGGTTAGTGTGAGCTGTTAGCAGAAATTGTATCGACGAGGCATTACTCAGTTTTGAACCTGGGTCACTGCATTGGAAGGTAAATCTCTATGTATATATTAAATATATAGTTATACACATACTATATATAATATGTATAAGACAATTCTTTTTTCAAATTAAATTGATCATTTCATAGATCTATCTAAACACTCTCTAATGTATCTAAACACTTATGTTAGAATTATTTTAGCTGATCTATTCGCTTTTAGAGTCTTTAGACATCTTTATGAAGCGCAAAATTATTATCTTAAACAAAACTTTACTTACTTTCAAAATTTATTTTTCAGGATGCCTAAATTGAACGGTTTTCAAAGTCACGAAAAGAATGGTTTTCATAGTAACGGGGTGAATGGTTTTCAAAGTCACGAAGTAAATGGTTCTCAAAGTCATCAAGTGAATGGTTTTCAGAACTACGAAACGAATGGTTTCCAAAGTCCTAAAGTGAATGGTTTCCAAAGTCCTAAAGTGAATGGTTTTTCGAATCCCAAAATGAATGGTTTCCAGAGTTCCAAGATGAATGGTTTTCAGAGTCCAGAAATGAATGGTTTTCAAAACTCCAAACTAAATGGTGTTCCAAGTCAAAAATCAAATGGATGTCCTTTCAGAGGAGAACTTATCCCTCCTGATTTACCAAGCAAATGCACTTGGCGTTTAAATTCGAAAGAAAAATCTGCCCACCATCATTGCACTTTTGAGTACGTTTTCTAATTATTATTAATAAGAAGCACTTATGCAATATAGTGATAAACCACGTTTTTTTTTTCAAACGTGATGCTTTTTACATCAAACTGTTCCTTGATATTATTTTTAATAGGTACTTTACAAGTTTCTATAATGTCCTTCAGATGCCAGCAAAATGCATAGAAACTTCTTATTGCCTATATAGGAAACGCAGTGTTTATTCCGAAAACCCTCTCTTAAACAAAATGTAGCTTATCATTACGTTGCAATAGGTCTTTCTTGTATACTTGTACCGTACTTGTTAATATTTTTTTTCAATTATTAAAAGACAATCAACTTTTTAATAAATATTCTTTGCAACTATCAAAAAAAAAATCATTATCAAAATTAAGTCTATCTATAATAATGTAATAGATACTGTTTCTCCCAATGATGCTATTGGCTATGCAATTGGAATAAGGTAAGAATGAAATTTAATCTAACTATTTCAAAAAGAAAAATGATAAAAAATAAAATGTGATCAATTAAAAATTTTTATTTCTGTTTAAAAGTATTTATGTGTGTATCTAACAGTTCGAGATTCATTTCTGCTTGCCTTCTTGAAAAAAAAAGTGTTTTTCTTTTGAAATAGGTCTTTAAAAAGAGGAGGGATGCATTAAAAATCATAATATATGTAAATTTCAACAAGGTTTTGCACAAAAATAAAATACCTCTTTAAATAATATAGCGAAGTTACTAACATAATAAACATAAGTTTTTTGTAAGCAGTGTTGACAGTGCGTAATTACTATATTTAACTTTATGTTAATATTTCATCCATTAAAAAATGAGATTTTTACCTATTGAATATTTCGAAAGGTTGGAGTTTAATCCACTTATAATGAGCAACCAAAAGCATTAAAAATCTAAAAACATCAATTGAAATTTATAGACTTAATTCACGCAGATTCCCTTTCATGTAATGTAATTACTTTTATTGATTAAATAATTTATTGATAATTTTATAAGACAGAATCATTTCAAATTACATGTATTTGTTTATTTATCATAGGCCAAGCAGACCAAAAATATTGCCAAACGTTCTACATGCTATTGGAAACACCCCACTGATTAAGTTAAACATCGTTCCAAAAGAATATGGTTTAAAATGTGATTTGTGTAAGTAAAATGAAAGTAGTAAAAAAAGATTTAGTGTTTGCACTTCTATTAACCAGTAATATTTATATAAAATAATAATAATATAATTAGAAATAATCATTATTTATTACAATTGTACCTACTGTTGAAAATAGTTATTAGTTTAATCATATCACTTTCAAGGCTTATGACAGTTACGCCCTTTCTGTGTAAGCAAAACTCATGAATGATTCGTTCGGAGAATCAAACGATTTTTGCTGTAATATATATTACAGAAGCATATTACATTTGCATATAATATGTATTACAGAAGCCAAAAATATATACTTAAGTTATTTTTTGCTCGTCAAATTTTAAATTTATGAATTGTATCTAGTTTCATTTCACGCATAAATTATAAATTTTCGTTTTTTAATCCATTTAAAAGCAAAACTGATTCAAGAAACTGCTAATATAATATGATTTCCTTGTTTACAATATTGGAAATTAGAATTATTGGAATTATTAGTGTAGACATATGCAATGTTAATATGATAATAAGCATTTTAAAGCAAATATGTTCTTCAAATATTTAAAGAAAACTTTTCAAAAGTTTGCACAATATCAGGAGAAAAAATTTGATAGAAAAAGAAAATAAGATATCTGTAAAATTTTTGAGTCTTAAATGATGTCCAGATATCAAAATTAATTTCCTCTTAAATTTTTTTTCAGTGGCAAAGTGTGAATTTTTCAATCCCGGAGGAAGTATCAAAGATAGAATCGCAGTCCGAATGATAGAAGAAGCCGAACGCGAAAATAAAATTTCTCCAGAAAAATCCAAAATTATTGAGCCTACTTCTGGAAATACAGGTAAGCTCTACTTTCCACTTTAATTGGGTAGTGCTTGCAACTCAAGAAGAAGAGAAGTGATTATGCCTAACCATAGGATTTGAATCAGATTTAATTGGTTACCTGTAAACGACGTCATACGCGTGTAGCGAACATGATTGGCTTTTGAATCAACAAATACCGCAATTTAGCTACGATGACGTCACTTGCAAGTGTGCAATTCTATTCTTTTGATTTGTGTTCTAATTCTCAATTCGTTTGATTTACTACAAACTGGTTTAAATAAGAGTTATCTAGAATTAAAAAAAAAAAATTTAAGATTCATACTGGAGTTACGTAATATGCTAAGTCGGCCTTGCTTTGTAAATGATAAGTTTAGCGAAAAAATTTGATGCCGTAAATCGAAACAAACTACAGGCAAAATTTTCGTTCAATACACTCATAATCATTTCGTCGAATTTACATACTTTACTAAACGTTTAGAAGGTTTGAACAACAGTTATTCTTAAGTAATATTACACACCTGTAATCAATACTTTTATTAACAAGTAGCCATTTCTTTTTCCTCTGTTATGTGAAAAAATTTTATTACGGTAATGGAATTTGCTTTGTAGCTCTGCTCACATAAAAATAAAATTCATGTCCAACTAGTATGACTTTTACTGTATGTACAAATACTTAACACAAAACGAGATGTCTGAGGAAAATATGAAAAATATCAATGGTTTTTCATTGTTATTTTTCTTAAATCATTACATAACAAGATCGATTAAATGCTGCAACAAAACTTTATGAGCTATTTATATTGTTTACTTATAAACGGACATAAAGCTTATATAAAAATGTTTTAAGTTCGTAAATACGCGAGTTTTATCAAAGACTTATATTAAAATACTAAAATGTAATATTATAATATAAGTAACATTTTGATTATTATTTGATGGAAAAGGATATCAAGACCCCTAGATAACTTTAAAATGTTTTTTTATAACAATTTTACCATATTCTTTGATGTAACTCATTTAAATGTGTATTCAATAAAGAAAATTATATAAATTCAGCAAGGGATTTTAAATTGCATTGAATAAAAATGTCTAACTTTATTATGGAAACAAATTAGTAAAAATCTGTACAAATATAGAATCCGGGTGTGAATTAAGAACTTAGGTTAAGTTCTGGATTTTTATTCAATGTTGATACTTGACACATTTAATCAATTATCTTCTTGTTCATATGACTTGCACGCTTCGCCTTAAGTTCTAAGAAGTCACTCACTAAGAGCCATCGCTAGACTTTTTAGGGCCCTTTGAATACTCTATTTTAAAAGTTTTCCCTAGGCTAAATTGATTGAAATTAGTTTTTTTTATTTATTCTCACGATTTATTCCTAATAATGAACAACTAGTCATTTTTTCGTGATTAATTTTTTTTTTTAATTTTACATTTCCGTTTAGTTTTTATCAATGCTGTATCAGGACTGTAGAAGTGTGGATTTTTGTGTTTCCGTAAAAATCGTTAAAAACTTTCAAATATATCCTATTTTCTAATTCACTCCTATTTTCTATCCTATATTCTATGGTTTTGATTTTTTCGGATAGTTTCTAGTAATGCTCCCACCATTATCTACAGAAGTGTCTCTATTTTACCTTCAAATATGAAAAAATAGTTAAGAAAGTTTATAATTCTTCAATAAAAAATTTAAATAAATCGAATTTTTTTAAAGGTTATTTATTCATTATTTATTTATTTGAATATCCACTGCACGGCTCGCTGCACTCATTCTTAAAAAGTACGTTTGAACCCAAATCGTTCGTATTGTGGGAAAAAAATCAGATATTTTGATTATCTTGCTGAGCTATTTTTAAGTTGTTTATTTGTTTATTATTTGATTGCATTAGCTGTTTGGTTTTACTTTGCACTACGATGATAAAAGAAAAGGGCATTGCCGCGAGTCCTAAACAAGTTATTTTTATATGTTGAACTATGTCCGAAAACTATTACGTGTGAAATCTTATTTAAGATAGAAAGTAATTGAAATATTATATGCATTGAAATTCTAACTTTGTTGAACTAAGTTCAGATTTTAAAAGTTTTCTAATTTTAATGCAATGAAATTAGAAAAAAAAAAATTGTTTTTGAGCACTTTGATTAGTCCAGTCATAAATTATTAAATAGATTATACGAAGAATATGCCTGATTTTGAATTAGATAACTGTCCACTGTATTTTTGACAGCTCTTTGCTTGTAAAATTTATTGATCCCATCAAGCTAGATCTCTCGAATTTCCCCTAGGTTCTGTTTCTGATGACAATACAAGTCTCAATAATTTTATGACAGCTACTAGCAGAATTTAATGCTATATTATCACCATAGGAAATTTACCATCAATCAAAGTTCCGCATTTTTTCTGACTAACTAGCAAGCAGAATTTAAATCCAAATAAAATTTATTATCATCACTCGTGGAAGAACAGACGAGAGTGGGCCAAGGTCTTCTGAGGTATTTCTACCCACTTCTGCTTACAGCAAGTCGGTTTTTAGTATTAAGTATTAAGGTTTTTAGTATTAAGGACGCATTAAAGGAGAAACAGTTCTCCTTTCATGCGTCTGTCATCTAAATTAGATTTTTCTCTTCTTCTCGTGTTAATTGGTTTAGCTGAAACAAATTCTTTTAGAGTTCTGAAATTTCAGAGAGACTAGCTAGGATGCTCAGATTCCAACTAAAGTTCCGCATCTGATGATGGCAATGTTTTCTAAATATTGAAAGAAAACTGTAACTCCGTCGATTTCTGTATGCTCCAGGAATTTCGGACATTACCAAACGTTACTGTCACAAAAACATAAAATTATAGGATTACTAAAATAAAATTGAAATTTTAAAAACTACGTTTCTCTAGTAAACTAAGAATAAAGAAAATTAGAACGAAAAATAGGCATCACTGTTGAATATAAAATTTAGGATTTGTGACGCTTATCATACGCAACCATGTTCATGAGTTCTTTTTTTATTTATTTATAGGAATTGCTTTGGCTCTGGCCTCCGTTGTGAAAGGATATGAATGCACTTTAGTTGTACCAGAAAATAAAAGTCAAGAAAAAATTGATATGTTGAAAGCTCTTGGAGCAAACATAGTTCGAACACCTGCTGGCAAATTTGATGCTCTTGATTCTCCATACAATGTCGCTCAGAAAATTAATGAGGAAAGCGACAACAGTTTCTTACCATATCAAGTATGCATATTTTAATGCTCTAGCAAAAAAAATTATGTGTTCAGTTTCTATCATTTGTTATGTGTTTAGTCGACTATTACATTTTATAACCCAGATTGCATAAGTCAAAAAACAGCCTTATTCTTAAGAATTAAAAAAACACACATAACTAATTTTGTTTTAGAGTTCTTAAAAGATAAATTTATTAATGTAAGATACTGTTCTGCCTTAATTTTCTTCTCATTCCTATATTCTCTTACGATTGTAAAATACAAACAAAGTTAATTGAAGTTATTTGCGATTACTGTTAAAGTAAACATAAAGCTAAGTTTTGTTACCTGTAGTACGTAACACTTCAACAAACTAGTTAATACTTTCGCTGAAAATAAATCCCAACAACATAGGAAAAATATGAAATCACACATAATGCAATTATAATTAAAACGCGAGAAAAAATTAAATAGGGCACGAAAAGACTTCGTATAAAAAAGTTAATGCCATCTAATATTATTAAAGAAACAATTAATAAATATTTGCAGCTCGGATATTAATGAGTCAAAACCACTTTATTATTTCCAGACACAAGCTTATGACTATAGATGAAATCATTTAAAATTTATTTGTTATTCGAGTGTATCTTTCTTTTTTTTTTAAACTTTACACGCCGTACGTTGTAGCCCAGAGGTTAAAGAATCGGACTCCGGTCCGTAGGGACCAGGGTTCGATCTTAGACTCCTCTAAGATCCACCAAGTACCTTTGATATACGCGCTAGTAAAATCAGTGGAATTGAAAGTTCTGTGGTTGGTCGGTGAGCAGCATCATGGATATAGGAATCTGGAGAAAATTTCCTTCCACTTCAGATCTATGTCTAAATCGAGGAAGTGGCCTCACGAATGAATGATGCTGCCATCTATCCTTGAAGTTCTGAACTAAGATGTACTTTCAATCTTGCGGTGCTCTCTGGTCCAACGTAAGACCGAATCAATTCGTGAAAAGCCAGTCAGTGGCTAGTGAGCTTGGCTTGTTCATATGTAATCAGAAACAACTTCACACACAAGGAAGCATTCCTTACCACATTGCCTTTATTTAAGTTATTGAAAGTGTTTTTGTGTATGATAATATTCTTTAAATTTCCTTATTTGACTTTAAACTTATATCTTCAGTATCGATGTTCATCAAATCCTTTGACACACTATGACTGGACAGCTGAGGAGATTCTTGCTCAATGTGATAACCGTTTGGATATGATTGTTATGGGAGTCGGTACTGGTGGAACTATAACTGGTATTGGACGCAAAATTAAAGAAAAGTGTCCAAACTGCAAGGTATGCAATACTTATTTCAAATCATATGCTACTGTTTTTCTGAAATTTCATTGCTTAGAAATATACTTCCCAAATAGTTTAAAAGATAGCGCTTAAAATATTAGTTTGTTCTACAGTAGAATCACAATTATTTAACGTGACGCGTTAAACCTCTTGGATACAGAGCTCAGTAAGTTAACTTTCGTTATTTATTATCCGTTATAAAATATTAGTTTGTTCTACAGTAGAATAACAATTGTTTAACGTGACGCGTTAAACCTCTTGGATACAGAGCTCAGTAATTTAACTTCCCTTATTTATTATCCGTTATAAAATATTAGTTTGTTCTACAGTAGAATAACAATTGTTTAACGTGACGCGTTAAACCTCTTGGATACAGAGCTCAGTAAGTTAATTTCCGTTATTTTAGTACACCAGTTCCAACATTCGTCATCAAAAGGTTAAAAATAAAACCAGATATAAAAAAAAAATACTTTTAACCTTCACGCAGACTTTTCCATCTGGATGTGTGATTTTCCACGTACTTTTTATGATAAGTAGCCAAACTCTCGCAATAAACAAATCAGCATAAAACTAAACGCGTCTACAACAACACAGATGATTCATCATGAGTAATAAAAAAATAAACTCCATCAATCAAAACTAGACGAGATAAATATTATCTCTCTTAAAAATAAATTCTTTATGACGTTTGATCTTTATCAATATTTCGCTGAAGAAGAAAGTGGCCAAACTCTCTCAATAATCGAGCTCTAACTGATAATGTAGCGAAACAAGTGAGATGGCCAAACTCTCTCAATAAAACGCGATAACAGTTGTAGCAATCTATTATCAGCAGTTTTCCAAACATTCTTTTTACATCGTACCTTTTTACATAAATTTTTTCTTTAATCCTTTATTAAATAATTTCACGTAACAAGACAGATGTATTTAGTAAAGTTATGGCAAAAAATAATCGCAGATATAAATTTAAAAAATAATAATTAAAGTTAAATAGAATTATCGATAAAGTAGCAGGGGAAAAAAACGTTTAATTCTTGTTTACCTAACCCGCTTTTTTATCAGATAAATATCACGCGAAAGTTAAACAATATTTATAGATTTTCCACCGGGTAGAAGTATTTGAATAAACTTTTGAGAGTCCTTTCCTTAACGGGACTCTGAATCCTGGACTTCTTGTCGAGTAAATAAACCACTTTGGAGAATATAATCCAGTGTGATAATCAGGCTGTCCTATGAATAAGCAACTTTTTGCCCTTTAAAAAAAAATAATAAGTTTAAAGAGATAAGAACGCGAGGACTATAAGACCCTCAAGATTCGACGAAATCTTTCCTGTTTACGATAAAACTATACAACGTATCACCTCATATCTTTCTTTGTGTGTAATGTCCTGACCTATGTTCAAGGCTCATGAAAGAAAAGCTAATGCATCGTACACAAGATTATGCATGATCCAATAATAATTCAGATTTCATACATATACATTGATCAACAAAGTGGGCTTATCTAAGACAATTTTAGGAAAGATTAGGGTGTCCAATAAATACGGCATTAACACGTGCATACATATACAACCACTACGCAGTGTTGCGAACTCAAATGTACAATCACTACGCAATACAAATAAGGTCTCAAATAATCTTTATGTAATTAACATATTAAGTTCTTTGTAATAACTCATCTTTTTTTTTAAATATATAAAAATAACTTAGTAATGTTTTTCTCTTCTTTAAATTTTTGATAAGATTTTAAACTTTTGATGTCAAATTATTGGAGTACTATTGTAAACATTTTGTTCAAACAATTCATAGTTTCATCCATGCATTTTATTTAACTTCGTTTAGCATATTAGGATGTAATTGTCTTTAGTAGAGTAATAAATTTTTTACTTTATTTATTTAATGGACTTTTAATTTTAATACTGGAGGAAAGTTATTATATTTTCATTATTCAGTTAATAAAGGCTGAATTTCTAACAATTGGTGGTAAATAATTATGCTTTAAAATAGATTATTTTCAATTTGCATTTTTTGACTATATCCTTAAATTTTTTAAGTTACTTAAAGATGAAATTAAAAAGCAATATTGTTATTATTGTTGCTATTTAGTTTCATAAAAGTTTTTCAAAAATGGCTTTCACTTAAAGATTAAATATAAATAAAATTTTGCAATTCGCAAAATAAGTAAAGCATGTTTCGCAATAATTATTCATTTAATAATAACAAAATTGAATTTCATTATCAACACATCTGTTAATTCAATGACATTAATTAAATCTTAATTTCAATCAAATCTTTTCGTATATCTAATTACATTTGTTGGCACATTGAGGTACTTTTATAATTGCAAATTGTACTTCATTATTTGTGAAAATTATTAGCCCCTTTACTTGGAATTCCGTTACCTATTTAGAGAAAAAGTATCGCTAATGATAAAGTATTACTTTTTTTATTCCCATTTTCCCATTTATTCTTTTTTTATTCCCATTTTCCCATTTTCAAAAAGCACTTGCAAAGTTCTCTTAGTACTAGCATTTTTATTCTTACATTTTCAAAGTGAAGTTTCCATTTTCTTTCACTAATGCTTCAATTCCAGTATTTTAAATAAATTAATGAGCAAAGTTTATGAATATTACGGAAATTCTTTAGTGATAATCACTTTCAGTCCCATTTTGTATTTCATTTTACTTTCTTATCATTTTCGCTAGTCTAAATCAATCAGCAGTTGAGTAGTTTAAACCCAGCTGTTCACTTCAAAATAAACGGTGATAACTTGAGGCGATAAAGCTTTACAATCTGAAGTGGACTTAAATTAGTTTACTACAGGATATTTTTATCAATGGATATAATTTTTGAGGGTATTGCCTCTAATCATGTAATATCGATATTATTATGTTTGCCGAAAAGAAAAATGGGCTCTGTAGATTTTGTTCGTTATACAAATAATTATATAATGAAACATTTTAGCATCTCGTTCGTTTTTGTTCTTTTACATATGATTTAAGTAATTTATCACATTTGTGTTTTCAAAAAATGTATTAATTCTTACTTCATACCCAATTTAAAAGTCAAAGGTAATTTTTAAAATAAATAATGAGTCAGTTATAGAGCAAAATTAGGAAATTGTAGTAATATTTTTGTAGTTTTGTAATATTTATCATAGATTTGTAGTCTTTTCAATGGTGGTCACTTTTTAATATTTGGAAACACTCGTTCAAAAACTGAAAATTTTAAATGATTGAAAAAATATTTTGCTATTAATAATGTAAGGTATTTATTTTCAAGAATTTCTCAAAATCTGTTAAAATTACAAGGTTTATTTCTAAAATAAAGAAAAATTTAAAAGAAAAACGTTAAATAAAGTAATTTTCAGATTATTATAAAATATGCATAATACATTATTCTCTTCATCTCTACTCATCATCTTCTTCTTGGCAATAAAATAATTATTAAATACACAGAGAGTGCTTTTTAGGTGAAAAAAGTGGCACTCTGGTGGAAACTGGTAGAAAAAAAAATTTTTAATCACCGTTTGTAATATTTAGTCTCCCTATGGTCGGTAGCGACAGTTAATTTCGCCCTACAATACAAAAAATTTCCAGATCAAAGTATGGTAAAAAGTATTGCCACTCCGAATCTGTAAAATTCACTTTTAAAGTAAAATTTAATATCGTAATTTATACAATAATCTATATTTAGTTACAGTGTTTCAGTGATTTTACAGTAAATATTGTAAATATTACGGGATATCAGACTTTTTGTTTTCTGAGCCCCGGTACTTCTTACCGTAATTTGATCCGGAATTTTTTACTGTGTATAAAGTCGGTTAGAGTAAAAATTTTCCTCTCTTACGTTTCACGAGTAAAAAATATAGAAACTTCTGATTCTTGATGTCATTTCCCTCAATTAGGCCGTTAACAATTTTATTGGCCATTCCAAGTAAGCATTTTCAGTAATAATAGTAAGAAAAGAAACATTTTCGTTAACATATTCCGTCACAATGCATTTAAAGTTCTTTACGAAATGCCTGTTTTTTATGTTCTTCTCGCGCAACTTAAAGAAAAAATATTATCATTTGGTCAATTAATGTTGTTTTACACTTATTTAAATCTCAAAATACAACATCAAATGAGCGACATACATTTTTTATACTTTCAAAAATATTTGGAATGAAGCATTTTATTTGCAATTTAAACATTTTTGCAATATTTTTTTTTTTTTACTTTTTATGTTCGCAAATAAAATTCTTTAAAAACGATTCCAGAAAGATGCATAACCACTGAAAATAAAATTCTATCCTGAGAAGCTTGTATAAAATGTTAGCATAAAATATCTCTTCTATAAACAATTAACAAATTCTTAAAAATATCCATTGCAAACTATGATTATTTCTGAAATTTAAATTATTTTTTTAATTGGAAACTTTAAAAATAAAATGTAACCAAAATAGAAAGATAGACAATGTAAGTTCGTTTTTACCATATTTCCGTATGTTTTAAAGCTTTTCATACCGAACACACAATATATATATTCATATAGAAGAAGTTTTTTGAGTTTAGTAATATTATTAGTGCATCACTTCTCCGAAAAATAGTTTCAAAACCAAAAATGTCTTTATTTTTCTCAATAAATTATAAAAATGTCCATCGTTTGAATTCTATCAAAACTTGATAAAATTATCTGACAAAAGCTACGATTAAATTCAATTTCGTTTAACAAAATCCAATGCATGCACATTACATTCTTTATACTATTTCATCTCTCCACTGTAACCCGTGCCCCTGTCCCCTAGTTCTGAATGTATTATTAAAAGCTTTCAAGAAGATTGCCGTTGTCACAATTTAATTTAATTGCAATTAATCATAAAGTATAATTGTAGTTCTTTGTCAATTATAATGCTCTTTTTCATTTCTCTCTATCTAATCTTTATGACAAAATATTTGTATATAGCATAGAAGGATCTTGGTTGTTGATTTATCTTGTATCTCCTTCATTTTTCAGGTTATTGGAGTTGATCCTTATGGTTCTATCATAGCTGAACCAGCATCACTGAATGGACCACTAGTCAAAGGCAGTGACGTTGAAGGTATTGGACACGATTTTATTCCCACTGCTCTCGATCGTTCGGTAAGTATCATAAATAATTTTTTTCATTTATTTTGTAAAGTTATTACGAAAAATGAGAAATTTATAGTTAAAGAAGTATTAAGGTTTTTACTCTTAAATCATTGATTTTAATGAACTTACTATAGAGTTAATATATATCTTTTTATGGAAAATAATACATTTGATAGTTCAGCAAAACACTCACACAAAAGTGATAGGAAAATGTAAATAAATTTATCTAAAATACAAATTTTCATCTTTTCGTTCGTACATGAATATGACCTTCAAGCTGTCAGTATACACTGACCGTTTGAATAGGAACTTTATTGGTTTACTTTCTGCATGTAATTATACATTTAGTAACTCCGTGGCCTCTTAGTATTTCTTTTATTTTGTTTTCTCTTTTTTTTATTTAATCTTTTTTTTTTTGTAAGAGATGTTATTTTGAACACTTTGATTTTTTTTTTCAACTTGAGAGCGCAAAAAATTTGAGTTTTGCTCAATATATCCGCTTTGGGTTATTGGATATTAAGTTGTATATTTAAGTCCTCTTTTGCATGAAGGACAGCATAATACTAAGAAAAAGACTATAGTAATTTAATAAAGTAAATAATTATGAAACGTAGTTCATAATTTTTATCGACCACCATTTGGTTAATTTTTATCGGAATATCTACCACATTATTTTTTACTTATGAATTTTCAGCTCTTTTATTTGTTCTGTTATCGTACTTTCAATATAATTTGTACTATTATTTGTACTAGAAAATTTTATTCCCATCAACAATTCATTTGCATGTATTTAAATATTACTAATGTTTATTAATTTCGATGTAATACTAAAATAATATAATGCTAAAATAATGTAATGCAGTATTTTTTTAAATTCTATAAACTCATTAATAATTAATCCTAGCACATTAAGAGCTTTAATATAGATAATCGAAACAATTCTGTTTGTATTTACCATATAATGATTCAAATATTTTTCTATGTAGGTCGTTGACAAATGGGTGAAAGTGAATGATAATGAATCTTTACATATGGCGAGATCAGTTATTAAAAAAGAAGGAATATTATGTGGTAAATTTCCTTTTATAGTATTTTTTTTTATTTCTTCTCTAACTACTTTAACGCATTAAAAATAACTTAATTGAATAATTAAGCATTTATAAATAATTAATTTGGAATTAGGTGGAAGTAGTGGTAGTGTCGTGTGTGCTGCCTTGAAAGCCGCTCAAGAACTGAAAGAAGGACAAAGATGTGTAGTTATCATGCCCGATGGGGCGCGAAATTACTTGACAAAATTTCTCTCGGATAACTGGATGGTAGAAAAACAATTCATGAGTGCTGATCCTGAAGATTCAACGATACCATGGTAATATTGAATTATTATTAAACAAAATTTTATTTTTGGTTATATCACTTTTTCATTCATTTCCTTGGATTTTTTATGTCCTAAATTGGCTATAATACAGTACAGAACCCGTTATCCGGAAATCAGAAAACCGGAAAATCAAAAAACCGGAACGAAATTCGATAAATTTTCCCGACATTTTTTTTAAAAAAATGTTTTTTTTTCCTCTTATGATTTTAGGATTTTTCTTTCTTTTTTGAAAGATGTTTACCTTACCATCATTTAGGAAATAATTATTCGTGTATTACTTCATCATTTTTTCTTCTTTTTAAGATTATTTCCAAATATTTTTTTAGTTGGGTTTAACAATGAAAAAACGGCTTTTTGTAGCGATTCAGAAATCCGGAAAAATCAGTTATCCGGAATAGCGATGGTCCCGATCGTTCCGGATAATCGGTTCCCTACACATTGTTAACAACGTAATAATCATAAATAAAATTATTTCTAATGGGATACCTGCAAAGTGACGTAGTAAGGGTATCTCGATTCTGATTGGTTGTTAAAACGTGGCATTTGTTTAAGTTGGCAACTGCTCTTTCCATTCTATTTCGAGTAAGGCAGGTCACTCAAATATCAATTCTCTTAAGTGACTCATTCTGTATTCTTACACAAAGATTTCAAATTTTTCCCTATGTATTTCTTACTTAACATAAAGACAGACATGAAACCATGTGGAGCATAAACAGACTAATTCTACATCAAAGTTGCCAGGTACACAAAACAAAAATATATCACGGTTACAATGAAATACAGAAACAAATAATAAATTTAAGTTAAGTAAAAGAAGTAGAAGAGAAAGAATTATATTTCAGCAAAATCAATGCGTGATGCGGCGCTGTATTTAATTAATTTCACGTTAAATAACATTCGAACTTAAGAGGAGAAACTTAGTTCGACTTTAACATGACTCTACATAATTGACTAAAAGATTTTCGTTAAGAAATTATACATTTTGAAAATTTCTAATGTGAAAAAAAAACTTATGTTTTCCTTTAGGTGGTGGGATCAAAAGGTGAAAAGCATGAAAGTTTCAAATGTATCATCAATAACACCTCAAACATTTTGTTGTGACGCTATTGATATCATGAATAAAAAAGGTTGCTTCCAGTTGCCTGTTATTGACACAAAAGGGTAATCTATGATTCATTATTTTATTCATTATTTTTGCAATCATCAGTCATCATTTTACGACGCGGCTGATTAGTTGGAAAAGTTTTTATTATTTCAATACTAGTCTGACACTTTTTAAAATTTATTTCAATGAGCCACTTCATACCTTTAGGCTAATTAAAAAACGTATAATTCATTTCTAAATAAACCTGATTCCTTTCGCATAGTTTGCAATAAACCAAACATTAAGGAATGTTTATTGCAAATAACCTAATTAAGCGAATATTGCAATAAGCTTAAGTCAATTCAGTCTGGATAAATACTTCTTTGCCCGCCCAGTGCCTAAAGGCATGCTGGCTGGATTTAGAAAGCCTAACATATATCAAGCAGATTAGAAAATTTTTAAGACTTTCCCATTTAGCGTGACGCATTGTGAAATGTCGAAGATTTTGACAATGAGTCGAATTTTTCGATTAGCTCGCGACACACATACATGATGCTCTGTAATGAATCTTAAAAAAAAAAAAAAATAGCTTAACTTTGCACTTAAAATATTATTTTAGTGAGAAAGAACAATGAAAAGATCAATTAGTGTCCTCTAATATTAATAGTTTTTTAACTTCACTTTATAGAAGGATTCATTGCCAAACTATTTCATGATCAATTAATTTTCGGGGCTCAATAACTATGCTTTCAGTTATTTAATCTTCGATAGTTTATTTAAGAATAAAAATGGCTAGCAAACGCAATATCAATCTTTTTAAACATTATGAACTAAACAAACTCGATCTCGTTCATTAATTTAATCGCAGAAAACGATTTATTTCGATGTATATATAATTCAAAAAATTTGATTTAGTTTTCGTTTCGTGCATTCCTATTTTTTTTCTCCTCTTTTAGCTCTATGAAAGGCATTGTAAAATTACAAGATCTGACCAAGAAGATAGTATCAGGAAAAGTATTATCAAACTCTTTAGTGTCCGAAGTTACAACCACATCTTTTCTGAAGGTAGAGTTTTAAATTTAAAATGTCTTACTTATAAATATATATTTATTTTTACATTTTTTTTTCTCCATATTTCATAGAATAAACTAAGAAAAAAAATGTTCTTCTAAAAAATAGTGATATTAAATTTAGATTTTGGCTTTGGATAAAAACTAAAACTAGGATTATATAGACTTCTCATATACGTATAATAGGAATTCGCACAAATGAAACTGTCATATTAGAATTATTTTCAATAGACTTATCTACGATTTAATCAGTAGTATCGATTTGGTTCGATAGTTTGGAATATGACAATCTCCTTTGAACTCAAGTCATGCAAATCACGCCTATTTTCAAAGTTAGTCCACACTACAACTTTGAAGTTTTAGAGTGTGCTGAACACAAAATATAGCGCTTACATTTGGTGCTAAATGGAAAATATTAGGTACTAAATTGAACCATATTGTCGCACTTTTTGAATTGATTACACATTACTATGATTCAACACATCACTATGAACGGAAACGTTATTCATCACCATATTAAGGTTGCAGCAGATTTACACCTTATTATGGTTTGAAATACTCACATTATGGTATAATTAGACCTATTTTTCCATGAGTTTATTATTATTATTATTTCTTAAATTAAGTAAAACATCTTTTTTTTTAATGATTAAGCGGTTGTTAATTTATTAAAGTGTCATGGTCTAATTTGTGAAATGAAATTAAAAGTTTCAAAAAGACAACATCACCTAATCAAGTAACATTATAATCTCGTTTTAATAGTGACTGTTATGAATATTTTCTTAAACTTGATTTTTAAACAAAAATTGCAATAAAATTCATAAAAGACCTTAAAGAATTTATTCGTAATCGACCGCACAAAATTTAGTAATTCCAATGTTAGCACCTTAACCTTTTTTTTATGTGAAAGTAAACTAAATTAAGTAAATTATTATTAAACTTTATTATTAAACTTTAAATTAAGTAAAACATCTTTCTTTAATGATTAAGCAGTTGTTAATTTATTAAAGTGTCACGGTCTAATTTGTGCAATGAAATTAAAAGTATCAAAAAGACAACATCACCTTATCAAGTAACATAATAATCTCATTTTACTAGTAACTGTTATGAATACTTTCTTTACTTTATTTTTAAACAAAATTTGCAATAAAATTTATAAAAGACCTTAAGGAATTTATTCGTAATCGACAGGACCAAATTTAGTAATTCCAATGTTAGCTCCGTCACCTTTTTTTATGTGAAAATACCCGTCTTCAATTTAATCGTATCTCACTTTTGTACTAGTAAATAACAATAAACTAACTGAGCTGAACAATCCATAATAGAACAACCTCAATATCATTAAGTGATATTATTTTTACTACAGAAAAATAATTTAAATTTAATTTCGTATTAACACTCAACGTTATTAATTCACAAAATTTTGATACCATTTTGTTTTTCTTCGTGACAGTTAAATGTGGACACCACCACTTTGGGACGTTTGTCTAAAATATTGGAAGCAGGACAATTCGCAGTTCTTGTAGAGAGTAAGTACTGTTTTATATATGTTCATCATGATTAACACTAGATTACCCAAGGAAGTCATTTTAACTGCTTTTTAATTTCAGTTAGAAAAACAATGATGACACAATTTCTCAGAATTTTGTGACTTTTTGTACAACATATAATTTTTTTATTGTTAATATTTACTAATAACTTGTTGTATAACTGAAATCAAATCAAGAATATCAAAAATATTAAAAATTAATTTTAAACAGATTTCTTTATACATTAGTTATTTTTTCACAATGCAGTCAATTTGACTGCTTTTGGGCAATATAGTTATTTCAGTTTTTCTAGCGTCAATGATACTAATTTATTATACAATGCATTACCTAATAATCACCTTTAATATATACTTTTAGAATCATTTTCCGAATTAAAATTTTTTAAAAAAGTATACATACTAGCGATTACAAATTATAATTTAATTGAGAAAAAAGCTTATCAAAATCTAACAGATCACTATAGTGAATACTTAACGAAAACATAAAAACAAGCTTGATTGCTGGCTGAAGCTTAGAGATGTTGCTAAACCCACTCTCCGTTTCCTCAGGCAATGATGCAAGTTTTGATGTTTTCAAATCTACCACTCCCATTTCTAGTTTGTCTTAATTCTCACGCAATGATATAAGTTTTGATGTTTTCAAACCCATCGCTCCCATTTATAGTTAGTCATAGTCCTCAGGCAGTGATATAAGCTTTGATGATTTCAAAACCACAGCTCCCATTTGTAGTTAGTAATAGTCCTCATGCAATGATATAAGTTTTGATGCTTTTCAAACCCACCGCTCCAATTTATAGTTAGTCATAGTCCTCATGCAATAATATAAGTTTTGATGTTTTCAAAACCGCTGCTCCCATTTATAGTTAGTCAGTTGTTGAAATCGGTCCTCGACTTCGCGCTGGTGGTCGTGCTACCAAAACAAGGGAGCCATCCTCTCCTGCAGAGGATCAAAGTTGCTATGACATGTCTTCGGATCATCCTCAGAGATGTTTCCCAGACAGTCACCAATAGCCCTTTGTGCAGCTCTAATGCGACGTAAATAAAGTGCCAACCTACCTACCAATTTTTGAACTTTTTTTCTCTCCTTTTTCCTCGCCTAACTAAATTTGCAACTCTTAACGTTTGTAGTTTTTTCCCTTAATTTTGGACAAGAATTTTAAAAATACCCATTACAGGCGGTGATTATGGAACATCCTGGATATTGCATATTGATTGATTTTTCATGTTTTTAATAGATGCAGGCAAGACCGGAGCTGAACGACTCGTTGGCGTAGTCAATCAACTCGATCTGGTAAACTTCATCACAACCAAGTGTGAAAATGGAAGTTAATACATTGCTCCTAAAAGCAATGTGCTGTTTTAAAACATGACTGGACATTTATGACGTCATCAAACCAGAAGAGCTTTTTAATAAGTTTCGTCGTTGATCTATCTCTCTATCTACCTATCACATAGTGTGAGTCTATCTCTCTGCGCATAAAATTGGAAAGTTCTATAATTATATTTGAGTTAGTACGATTATGAGAAAGTTCCAATCTGAAATGCTACAGAGGGAAAGTTTTGATGAATGTTCTTTGTTAACTTACTCTGGAACATTCTTTTTATAATCAGAAAAAAATGTGAAAGAGTTAAAATGGAAACATTATTTGAAAATTTGATAAAATCAATATCTTTCGAATTTCTGATTAGTATTTATAATAATATATAGTTGTCTGAAATGTTTGGTTGGTGCTCTTATGCTGTCTTTTCCACCTTTTGTAGTATTTATATGTATTTATTATACTTGTGTTCATTTCATGTTATGTATTCTTATGTATTTGAATAAAGTTTTTGTTCCAATAAGTGTAGCCTCTCAATGACATAAATATACCTATACAATTTAGATAGAAATTATTAAAAGTTGCATATTATTTTTCTTCATTAAAGAAACGAAGCTATAAAACAGTTTTTTTATGTTACAAAGTAATATTTTCTTTGTAAGTTTATGGGTACTTTTGCTTTAGTAATTTAAATACTTAAAGCAAGGACTAAAATCAGTTGGTCGCCTTCGTAAGGCGTCAAGGGCCGGCAAGCCTTGTAATAAGATGTTACTCTGGGCAAATACTGATTATTTGACATTTTCACTGACTGCCATAAAATTTGCATAACTTGTATTTTAATAACAAAAATTTCACGAGATCACTTCAGTGTTGACAATGCGATTTGTATTACACGCATTATAGGTCTCAATGCTTCGCCAATCAGTTCCTAAATTTGTCTATAGTTTGTCTAAGCAAAGAACTACTCCCGCCACAAAGTCTGAGACCGTCTGGTGCTATGGAAACAAGAATGGCGCATTTCGGGGAGGGTAGCTTCACTCTAGGACTAACACAATAGATCGAAGAAAGAGATTCCCTATCTCTCGCCGACCCAAGCCGAAACCACATCAAAACAGTGACCCCGCGCCCCTACTTGAAATAGTCATACCTCGTTACCATAGTCACCACCACAGGTCCAGACGAATGTCTGGAGGAGTTCTTAATTAGACAAAATATAGTAAGCTACTAATGACTGAGAATCGGATTGTAGCTCTGCGTCTATATACGCATGATGCATATATAACCAGAATGAGCCATAGTTTTGTTTATACAGAAATACATTGTAGCTACTTTTCTTTCAGTAGCAAAAGTTAGCATTGATACACATGAGCCATTGATTTGACTGTTTTTCTTTTTTTTTCTTTTTTTTTAATGAAAATTGAATTACTGCAACAGTTTAATGAATCAGCAAGGCACAACCTTAAGTAAAATCTAAAATTAAAATCCTTTAAATATTAATGAGAGTTGGCCCAGGGCATGATCTCCTTCTACCAGTGTTATAGATTACACTTTGCGAATTTTTACCGCACCTGATTTTAAATCTGACAAAAAAATTCTAGGTTTGGAAGCTTTATATTCAATTTAAACCTGCATTAAACATAGTGTGTAAAGAAAGCCAATTGCGAAAATTTTAAAACGTATTAAAAGTAAGCAAAAAGTGAGAAGTACTGTTTAGAGAGGAGGGACTGAGAGATTAAGTACGCAACCACTACTGTTAGATATCAGAATTTTTAATATCATGACATATTGTCAAATACACCGAAGAGCCATTACATTATGACCACCCTCCATCTATAAAAATGGGCTCGCCCAAGTTTTCATGGTTTCTCGCCCAGGAGCAATGTCTTCATGAGGCACATTAGGACCCATAATCCTCATAGAGCAACCTCTGACGTCTGTAAGCTACTTGAACATAGTTGCAGACCAGGTTCACCCATTCATGGCAACAGTTTTTCCTGCGGGGGATGGTGTTTACCAACAGGATAATGCACCGTGTCATAAGGATCGAATCGTCGAGGAACATTCCAGCGACTTTCAAGTCATGTCTTGGCCCCCAAATTCACCTGACCTTAATCCAATAGAGCATTAGTGGTCCTACTTGGAAAAGTGGTCCTTGCTGCCATACTACCCCCTCGCAATGTGAGGAAATTGCAGGACCAGTTGGTGAGCGCTTGGTACCAGGTACCTCAGACTACCTATCAGCACCTTGTGGAATCAATGCCACGGCGGGTGCTAGCAGTTTTGAGGGCTAAAGGTGGTCCTACATGTTATTAGCAGGGTAGTCATAATGTAATGGCTCTTCAGTGTATATCAATATCTTACAACGAATCGTGATTTTTTACAATGTAATCAATTTACATAATTTCTATATTGAACAATGTTTTCTTTCCCAAATGAAGGAAAAAAGACATTTTTTTCCCTACAGCACTTTTAAGAGCCAAAATTTTAAAAATAATACAATAATTATTGAAATTTAACAATGAACTAAGAGATAGGAAAAACATCATGTTTTTGGCTTCACATATAAATAAAACCACATATTTTTTATGCATTCAATGTACAATTCCTTGGAAACAACACGTTATTGTCATGTCCATTAAAAGTAGAAAAAAGTAACTAACTCTTGATTCGGGAAAGCAACTAACTCTTTGTTCAGAAAAGATTTTAGAGATATTAATATCTTTTCCTCGTTTACCTCTTATAGACTGTTTTGATTTTCTTTTTTTTTTTTAAATAAATGTGTGGCATAAAATGCACAAGTATTATTTTACTTGAAATATACTAAATACATTACTATAAACAAATTGGTGTCACACTACGCTTATAGCACTACTAATTCTTCATGATTTAGATAATTAACTCTTGGTTCGAAAGAAGTAACTAACTCTTTGTACAGAAAAGATTTTAGAGATAATAATATCTTTTCCTCGTTTACCTCTTATACACTGTTTTGATTTTTTTTTTTAAATATAAGTGTGGCATAAAATGCATAAATATTGTTTTACTTAAAATATTCAAAATACATTACAATAAACAAATTGCTGTCACACTACTCTTATAGCGCTACTAATTCTTCATGATTTAGGGTATTGACAATTATTCTTGACACGTGACTGCAATGTGTTAATCTATGAGCGAAAAAAGCTTCTCACTTTGATTCAAATTCTTTGCACTGAACGGGATGGTGAAAGTTTGCATGTTTATGGCTCCTCAAATAGATGATACTTGCTCTGTTTGCAACAATTTACATTATCATTTACGTAATTTACATGTACAAAACTTCCTTTCAACAATTTTTCATTTTTCAACAGCCAATAATCCGAAATAGTGCCAAATTTAAGTCTTCAGCAAACTTTGCAACTAAATGATGGCTACTCTAGAAAATTGCCGTCGGTATTTTTTATTTTTTGGAAGTTTTTTGGGGTTCTGGAAAACAAATCCGCATTTTATGACGAACGTTTTTTTCCCCAGGAAAACCCCGGAAGAATCAGTTTTGTGCGTATTGCTTTTTTGGTTTAAGATGGAAATCTTCTGAAAGCATATTTAAAAACCAGAAAAAATCTCCTACAAATTCTATACCTACAATGAGTCAGTAGGATAATAAAACAAAGAATTCTGAGCATGGGAATAATGATCAGATGTCATTCCTATAACATAGGAATGACATCTGAATACTTCAACGGGAAAAAAATAGAGCAGAATAATTGACAGATGTTTGAAATTTATGAAACAATTGTCTTGTGGATCTAGTATTATATTAAAAAAAATCTATATATTTCTATCCCCTGAAGGGAAGACTCCCCCCATTTAACTGTTATTTTTCCTAAACCTTCCCCCGAAATTGCAACAATTTATACAGTTGCTCTACTCCCTTTATAAATACCAAACAAAAGAGTGCAGTTCCGAACATTTTTACCCCCATTTTCGGTTTGTAACGTCATACATGCATTCCACATACTAATTTAACACCTCAACAATGTTTTTGTTTATTATTATTTTATTTATTTTTGGAAACAGTATCCACCACTTACAAATATTCATTTCGAATCTGTGTCGTGAAGTCTATTTCATCCATTTAAATATAAAATTACTAGTTCCCTTCAAATTTTATTTCCTCAGAAATTTAAATTATTTCCCTAGTAATTTTAATACTAATCCTTTCTTTTAATCATAGTTAGAAAACAATCCTGCGGTGCGAAAATTTATTAATAAAAACTATTTAGAATCCTCTATATGCACTTTCGTTTTAGAGAATCTATGGTCTAACATTTTTAATTTTTGTCAGAAAAAATATATATACTTGCATTGAAGATTCTCGCTATTAGTTTGTCTAAGCAAATTTATTTTCAATAAAAATACACATGGCTAGGAAGATAAATAGAATAAGATAAATCAGTTTCAATTTAGTAATGCTTAAGTCTAATTTCTAATAATCTAATTTCTTTCTTTTTGACACCGTTTAACACCGTATATAACATCTTTGTGCTCTTCTTCGAAATTTGAAAAAGCACTTAATCAGTTAAAGGTATTATTTCTGTTAAAATATCATCATGCCCGACCCTGACATGTCACACAATATAATTTTCAGACATTTCAAAAACATAGAAAGGTATTTTTTCCCCAAAATCTATCAATACCTTTACGCTTCTGAAATTTCAGAGTTTTCATGTCTCTTAACAGACTAACTAGCAATACAATAGGAAATACAAACCAAATCTTGCAGTTTTGTACCTTTCAATAGGGCCGGCCTAAGGTAAATATTTTTGCGTGCCTACTGGACACACGCGACATTTTTTTTATATTTGTAAGGAAGAATTTATTCCCTGATTTAATAGAATTAACCCAGTCTATTTAATGCTACAGTCTTATGTTGTTTGTAATAACATATTTTTCAGAAATGCGCAAGTCACGTTTATTACAATTTTTGTAGGCTATAGTTAAAAATTAAGGAAGTTTGTTTCAATTGGTTTGCTCGGTAATAAAATAAAAATAATGACCTAAAATAAAACCTATTTTGCAAATGAAGGTCTTATTGCATGACAGTAATCAATCGCAAAACGAAAAATTGAAAAAGCAAAATAGTGAAAATGAATTCATAAATTAGCCAAGAAAATTATAATCAAATTTACATTATTATTAATAATAATTAATCTAGTAGATTTTCTCTCTTCAAAACGAGATTGGTATTTTCGTATGATTTTTAAATCTATGGTCTAACATTTTGGAAAAGATTTTAAAAGCCACATCAAAAAGTATAATGCCTTGGTAGTTGCGTTGCGACAGTTCATTGTTTCATTTAATAGTCTCTTTAGCCTAAATATTTCTTGCTGCTTTCAGATCTTAGTTTCCTACAGCTGTAAGACTCTACTTCCATATTTAAGTGGCCAGTACATCTATATAAATATTATCCACAGTCCCTCATTCTACTCACAATCATTAGCATGTCAATAAGTATTACTACTTGGAACTGTCGCAGCATGAAAA